GCCGCGCTCGCCCCCGTCCCGGCGCTCCTCCTCGCCGTCCGCATCATCATCGCTGGGATTATTTTTGCTTTGGCTGCCGTTGGCCTCGCTTAACCCTGATCCCTTCTCTGCCCCCACCTCCGGGATGGGAAAAGCCTTGTCCCCGGGTGGGATGGCCGTGTGTGCGTGTGCGTGTGTCCCCAGCGTGGCAGATGCGCTTCGAGCATCTCCCCGAGCCGGGCTCAGCACCCCTCGGGCAGCCGACTCCGCTCCCCGCATCCCTGCGCTGCCCCATCCCTGCGTTCCCCCATCCCTGCGCTCCCCGCATCCTTGCGCTCCCTCATCCCTGCGCTCCCCCATCCCTGCGCGGCCCATCCTCGCGCTCCCGTTTGCCGCTTCCCTGCGTTCCCGCTCCCGCATTCCTGCGCTGCTCATCCCTGTGCTCCCACATTCTGGCGCTCCCGTTCCTGCTTTCCCTGTACTCCCACATCCCTGGGGTCCCGCATCCCTGCACTCCCCTATCCTGCATCCCTGGGCTCCCGCATCCCTGCACTCCTGCGGCCGCATCGCTGGGCTCCTGCATCCCTGCGCTGCCGCGGCCGCCTCGCTGGCCCCCGCATCCCTGCGCTCCCACATCCCGGCGCTCCCGCATCCCGCATCCCTGCGCTCCCGCATCCCGCTGCCTCCTCCCCGCTAAACGCTCGCTGCTGCCGCCGCCACTGCTTCCACGGAGGGTGGGTGCAAAGTTGTACCACAGTTATATAGCACTTATCAGTTTCCAGCAACAGCTGTGTATATTCGCTAAGAATGTAAAGAAATACCAGAAGATAATGCAGGATTGCTATTTATTACCCTATAATTAAAGTTCTGACAGTGTTTCTATTATAAAACCTTATTTGCAAGGGTTCATAACTCAGAGGCAAAATTTTCCTGCAAGACAAAGCCTCGCTTACCAGACTGAACCGTTTAAGAAGTGTTTCAGTTAAGTAAGGTTAGCCTATTAGAGGGTAAAATTCTCAAGGACTTTCATTAAGGTGCTCATTTATATTCACAAATAAAGAATTGCAAAGTCCCCCAAATCAAGGGGAGATATATATATATATATATATATATATATATGTATATATATGAGGGAAAATATTTTTTTCAAAATCAAGGATTCATGGAAAGGTTTTAATATAATTCTCTAGGAAATTATTCCCATGAAAACAATTTGTTTGAAAGAAAATGCCCTCCAGTCTTTTCCACACAAACTAGTCTTGGGCTAGTACATGAGAACCAAACTTAAAAGTGACTATGAACAGAAATGAGACCGGCTAATTCATTTCAACTGTCCGTACTGGAATGAAAAACAAAAGAGTAAACAGCTTGAACAGGGAAAGGTGAATTTAATTTTCAAGGCCCTTTAACTTTTAATAATCTGAGGAACAATATGGGAGGTACATTCTACCCTCCCAGTTATCCCGATATAAATTCATTCAAGATTTATATTGGTGTAATAGAGAAGCAGAATTTGCTCCGCGATTTCTAATGAACTGCTGGCTCAGTCTTTAAAAAGGCAATTAGAAAAATCTAGCCTCTAATTCAGAACAGCTTTGAGCTAAGTCAGAGGTCTCGATGCTGCAAACCCGGATGGAAGGCGTTTGGACCCCGGCTCCTCACAGTGCCTGCAGCACGACCGGAGCGGGGCTGGGAATGCTGGCAATGGCTTGCTACAAAATTCCCTAGTTATTTTAGGATTTTCTTTTCTATTATATGGGAAAAGACAATTCTCATATGGAATAAACCTGTGTTTCCTGTGATCTCAAATACTAAGACAAAAGGATTGTAGGATTAGGTGCTGGCCTGTTATTGATGCGGAAGGCAAGGAGCTGTCTGGTCGGAGCGTTGCCTGGTGAGTCTGGCAGGAGCCGGGAAAACCCACCCGGCTTTAACTCCTTCCCAAAACTTGTACCAAAGCGCTGGCAGATGCTGTGTCAACGCAGGTGAAACATCAATTATGAAAGTAAGACAAGGGCTAATTCTGTCATTTTACTCGTAAGATTAGGTCTCTGCATTCACCGCTTACTCATGTGTGTAGGAACAATGGGACCCAGATCCCAATTTGTCTCTCTGACCTTTTGAAGTGAAGGCTCTAAATGAAGCAGCGCGGAGCGGCTGTCTCGTTTGATCTTCAGAAACTGCGAGGCAAAACTCCTCAGGTTCTTTCAGGCTACAGCAGGCTGCTGGGCAGAGGGGGGGAAAAGATTACCTCGGGGGGAAATATCACCTCCGACTACCTGCAAGTTCTACCTCGCCCTCTTGACTGAGGACCCCAAAACAGGCCAGGGTGGCCCTTGACATGAGGCCGACCTGAAGGTCCTGGGAGATGCAGTAAGGACATTTTCACCCTCGCTCTTGAGCAGCTCTGTATCTTCACTAAGAAATATCAGAAGATAATGCAGCACTGCTATTTATTACCCTGCAATTAAAGTTCTCACAGTGCTGCTATTATAAAACGTTCCTCGCAAGGGTTCGCAACGCGGAGGGAAAAATTTTCCGACGAGGTGAAGCCTCGCTTACCAGGCTGAGCTGGGTACGGTTCAAGTGTCACTCATCAGTAAGTAAACCAAGGCAGAGCACCACCTTGCCAAGGAGCTGGGCGAGACCTCCCTCGGTCATGGGCCGGATCAGAGTGTGTGCCGAGGACAGCAGGGACCTCCAACTCAAAACCAGAGCGCTTTGGTGTCCCCACCCTGCTCACCGCAAGCCCTAGCGTGACGTTAGAGCGGAGAATGGCTCACTGTGAAAGTTGAACCCGTTCGCTTTCACTGGACCATGCCTCAGTTTCCCTGTCAGTAAAGAAAAAAACAAATTCCTAATTTGGTCTCACTGGTACGAAGTGTGATAACATTAGTGAACATCCCCGATACTCTGCGTTAAGAAGTGCAAGGCAGGCCCGTTACTTGGCTCTACCCATATGGTCACCACACCTACACATGCCCCCTTGAGAAGAACACTCTAAGCAACCATGTTGGAACACCTAGACTCACGCTGGCCTTTGGCTGAGTAAAAAATGAGGAGAAACCAGCACACAAGACAGATGATTACTGCAAAGTGACAACTTTGCAGAGCTAGGAAAATATCAAGACACTTACCATTGGATCTCCACTGGGTTTTTTTGCTTGCTTAAAGGAGGAATTTCAGAGAGGTACCACGTGCTCTCTCTTGCACTGAAAAAGGATGGTTTAGCATCTTGATGGCGTCAAAAGGCACAAAGACGTGTGTGGAGGGAAACCTGCCCGTGCCTTTCACCTGCTGTGGATGGAGCTCGGAGCTACCCTGCCTGACACAAGGGAAGCTCAAACCATAGCTGTCCACAAAGAGAGGTCTTACCAGGCTTCACGTGGTAACGCCTTACCAAGAGTCCTCCTCTTCCTTCTTCCCAGAGCAGGGTTGAAAATCTTGGAATTGTCGTAACGTTTTATTATCACTTGCAAAACAGATTCTACTTCATCAGATAAAGACACAATTGCATTCATTGACTCTGACACAAGGATATGCATAGTGATAAACATACAGATAGATGTACACACTTATACATGAATGAGATATGCTAATTAAAAATTGCAGTGGGCACTTTATTAAAAATTTATTGTACAATCTACATCTTCAAAACATTTTACATCAACAAATATAGCAGCTTGACTGCTGGAATCATAAGTGATTTATCTTTAAAAGACTGTAACTGGATGCAAAGATTCTTGATGAACTGCCGTTACATTTAAACTACTGGTTTTTATTGGAAGTATTTTGACTGTTATCTGTTTGTTCTCCATCCTTGAGAGAAATAAAACAAGTGTCTCGGCTTTCATTTTATCGGATAGATGGCACCATGTAGCATATTTCCCATGCTAGTTTGAATTACAGCTGTTTATCTTTCAGCTTTCTTTAAGATTAATTAAATGCAAATGTAACTCCACGAATCATGGGATTACCTGCCAGACCCCTTATTAATACCTTCACTTAAAAACCCCTGTGCCAGAGAGTCATTAATTTTTGGGGAAAAAAAAAAAACAAAAAAAAACAAACGTGCTAAAGCAGCCCTTTGCCTCCAAACAACCCGGAGATGGCTGCCCAATTAGTCCGGCAGCATTCGGATCCTCCTTTCAGGCCCTGTGGCCCTTTGAGGACACAATAAGGCTCCAATGATAACCTGGCAACCTAGGTAGAAACTCAGCCAAGTGTGAGCGTTTGAAGCTGCAGCTTGGCTGCCATCGTGTCGGCGAAAAGAAAGAATTCAGGCACCATGTCATCCAGTACAAAGGATAAAAACAGATTCAACCGGAAATTCAATGTGGCACCACATATGGGATACATGAGTGCGGTTACACAACAGGCCACATATTTTTTTTGAACAGTCTCCTGCATGTGATGCCGAGGACATGTGTAACCATCATAACGTCTCTAAGAATCTGTATTTAATTTGAGCTGGGGTGGTGGCAGGGATTGGAGATCTGAAGCCGCCACAGGTTTGTGGCAGATGGCTCTGTGTCAGCTATGACAAGCAGCCAGGCTCGGCTTCCTCTGCAGATTTTCTTTTCTCTCTGATCAGGTAAATATGGGCACACTCTGGAAACTTCCACAATTCTGCCTGAGGCTGCAAGTTTGTGACTTAGCCCCATCTGTCACAAATCTTCCCTCGGTTCTGCTGCGAGCAGAGACCTGAATTTACCGCCGAGCGCTGCCCAAGAAAACCCAGCCGTCTCGCCCTACGAGGAAGCAGAAGAGAAAAGCACACGAAGCCGCGTTAGATGCTGGGACACAAAAGGGACGTCTCTCGCGCGGGAAGGAGCGTGGCTCTCTGCCGAAACGCTCTGCAGCACCCGGGATTTCAGGAGGGGTGGAAGCGAGTTGGTCAGGAAATGCTTACGCAGCATTATTTGGATATTTTGGGGTTTTTTTTTTTGAAAGACAGGTAAGCTGGTCGGCAGCCCCAGGTTATTTGCTCCTGGATGAGCATCATCAAACGTCTGTCTGCATTACTGGTGGTCTTGGTGGACACGCCAAAGACTGAACACCTGCGGGGACCGCCCTGCCCCTCACACCCTCAGACACGGCAGAACCACAAACCAGCAGGAGCAAGGGCCTAATTCTCCTGCTTGACCATCGTTGGTCTGGCTTCTGGGCTTTATTTTGGAGTAACCTTGGAGAGAATAAATTCAAGTCCTTTTTTTTTTTTTTTTGAGTGATAACTCTGCAAAGGTCTGAGCATTCATTTTTTAACGGCATCATGATTCAGTCAACAGTTCCTAGATATGCAGAGATCAAAAGAAGCAAAGTTTCCACACAAAGCAAGATCTCCCCATGAAGAACAGGCAGCATAACAAGATGTAGTAGCAGTACAATATCTTTTAAGAAACAATCAACTTGTTTCTTGTGTCCTAAGATCAGAACTGAAGCAATTAATAGCTACTCTGCCATCAGTAGACTTCAGAGTTAACCTTTAGAATGGAGTAAGGACTGTTTACCCATCCATTCATTCAGACCTGCTGTTTCAGGACAGCTGGAGTTCAAGCAGACAGTACTCATTTGGCATACATTTAATGCACTTTTTTAAAAATTGAGAAGTTATGACTATTATTCAGAAAAAACCCTGGGATTTGGCAGGCAAAGACAGCAGAGTGATTTACAGAGCCAATTTGTATCGGGTCCGCTTTACTCTGTGACCCAGCTCCTTTGCTCTGTGAGTACTGGGGAAGAATCAAGGTGGGAAGCAGCTTGTAGCAATGACTTTTGGAGCTCCACTTTCAAATTCCAAGCACCTTTGGAAACCACCACCAAGACAGCGTTGGTTTACATGGACTGGTTGCACTGTCAGGCCTGAGACAGAGCTATATAATACTTCTCAGTGGCGTATTTCCCTAAACTGGCCTGTTCTAAAGTTTCATATATCAGCCTTTTGACACTCCATTCATTCTTTCTGTCTTTAAACAAAAAAACTCATCAAGTGTTCGATGTGAATCAATGCAAGACACCCTGGTGGGTACCTTGCATAGGGTGGTTCAGAACAGAATGAACAACTACAATAGTAGGAAGACAGTTTCAGGGTGTCGTTCTCAAGGCAATTTGAAAAGTTTTCATCATTTTGGCAACTTTTCTTTCCAAGTCCATCACATTTCCTTTGACCCAGTTCTCCAGCTACCATTTTGCAGCAGCTGCGGTTCATCTGACAGCTTTCATTTAATTTCTAAAACTAAAGTGGAAGCGATCTAATACTGTTATAATAAGAAGTTCAAAGTCCTGGTGTTTATGCTGAATGAAGCACACACAACTGCTTGCTTAATGAACGCTTTCTTCCTGCTCTACAAGTGCAGCCAACTGCTACGAGCTATAAACCAATATATTCCGAGAGCTGAGATCTCCTAGATACACACCTCAGAGGGCCGAGAGCAAGGTAAACCCTGGGAGGAGTTCAGGTGCAGGATGCATACATATATACATATATATATATATATATATGTCCATACTTATATATATGTCTGCACAGACATATATTATGTCTATATATGCATGGCTGGATCCCAGAATGAGCCAGCAGGCAACTTCAACAGCCTACCTGCTAGCTCACTCCTTTCACAGTGAGGATCCACAACAGCTAGCACACCTCACTCTACCGCAGCCTCTTCCAGTTCCACATGCTGCTCGAAGACCTAAAGTTGACCCAAAATGCTTAAATTGTGTCCCCACAGTCCAGCAGATCTTCCCACCTGTGCAAACCTCCTAAGCTAGCTGGATTTCATCTGCATCAGCGGCATGTATGGGAATGAAAAATGTTCGGGACTTCAGTCGAACCTGGATGCGACCCTCAGCAACTTAAACCCAACCTTATTTTGAAGCTGGTCCTGCTCTGAGCAGAGGCTGACCAGATGACCTCCAGAGGTCCCCTCCTAAATTCCTCTATGATTCTATGTTCTAAATGAGTAACCAAAGTTTTATTTCACATAAGAAATCCTTATGTCATATATATTTTACTTAGGATCCCGTGCTTAACTGACACAGAGACGGGAGAGCACGGACGCAGTATGCTGCGCTCCAGAGTTCCCAGGCTGCTGTAACCTTCCCTCTGAGAAGCAGATCTAGACCATCTCTGAAACCATCTTAAAATTATGCTCCCTGGAAACGGAGCATCTCAAGAGGCAAATATAAGTTTCCCACTTGTGCTTCCAACCTCCTTCTGACCTGCACCTAATGCTAACCAGGCAGAAGCAGAAATTCAATAGAATGCCTTCTTTTTTTCTCTGCAAACATGCTCTGCTGGAAATCTTTGTACTATTTGCACATCCTATAGAGCTCTAAATTAACTTTATCAGCTCAGGACAAAAGATCTGGAGAACACTGTAAACAAACATCTGCTCAATATACTTTCACCGTTAAAAAGTAAACAGTATGTTTGGCTCCATAAGGGAACAGGTTGAAAATGATCAGAGTACAACACATCCCATAAACTCATGGCATGGTTTGGAATACTCCATCAGCTAATGGTAACAGCAGCACAAAACCAGCTCTCAAGCATCAGAACGGTTCGAGTGACGGGCAGTAAGAATATAAACACAGAATTAACATTCACAAAGAGAGGCTGAGAAGACTGGACACCGTAAGGGTTTGACAAATGTTTATAAAATAATAAATGGTGTAGGAAAGATGAAGGGGGAGCTTCTGCTTCCAAGTGACCGACTCCAGAACAAGAAGACACTCAATGAAATGGAAGGAGGGGGGAACCCTGAGCCAACTGGAGGAAATGCTTTTAACTTCATCGGTAAATATATGATGAACCTCTTTCATATTTCTCAAGGACATGAAAGACAAGAACAGGAGTTTCCAAGGGCCTGAATGTCAAAGGGAGAACTGTTATGTACAGCCCTGCAATACTTAATACTAGAAGAAGATTATGAAAGATAATAAAAGCTCCCAGTCCAGGGTTAGGACCAATCTCTAACGCTAAAAGACAAGGAGAAGACTTCTAATACCCTATTTCTGCCTTTGGCAGCCTTCTCCCAAATCTCTGATGCTCACCACTATCGAAACCACAGTATTCAACACATGGCGTGCTGATCCAGAGTGGCAGCATCCTTATGGAAAAACAAAATTTGTCGTGGAGTTTTGCTGGGGAGTGGGTAGGGGTAAGGGCAAGAGGCATTGTCCCTGGCTCTTACACAGCCTGTACAAGAACTATGAACAACTACTGCTCCTTGCAACAGGGCTGAGTGGCTGATGGGACATCTGGCATGAGGCTCCCCCACATATTCATGTGTCCAGTGCCCCATATCTTAGGCTGAGAATGCCTCCTGCTGCTTTCCTAGCTGTGCCTAAATATTAAAGCTGGATCAGGAGCGGTTTTTCCCTTCTATGTGTTTTCCTGAAATACCAAAGATACTGCTCTATCACAAACCAGAGCAAAAAGGGAAGGAAAAAAAAAAAAAAGAAAGTTTTGTTAGAACTGCCCTATACAGCCAAATCCTGAGACTGGAAACAATTCAGATGTCTACGGTCTAACTGGGATCTTAATTTGATTTTACAGCAGTTTAATCCCTTTGAATTCAGCAGACTTCCTTCTACAGTGGTGTAAGAAAGAAAAAAAAAAAAAATCACGCCATGTGTCTTTTCATAGGCAGGTGAGCTTCTGTAGTGTGATGGAAATGAGAAGATGAATGTCAGAAAGTGGGCCAAATTCTTTTCTCCGTTAAACAAGCATGAGTGAGAGTAGGATTTTTCTGTAGGAACTGAAGCTGACAGCATGTCAACCAGCACTCATTCAGCTGGGAGGGCTGGGAGAGCTGGGAGAGATTATTTAAAGTTGTCAGCTCCTTCCATGCCTGGCTTTTGGCAACTCTTCTTGTCCCTTTCCACTGTATACTCTTTATACATGCTGTTTTAAATTAAGAAACTGAAGTGAGGGAACTGAAAGGTAAACTTCAAGAAAATAATGCAGAAACAAATGCTTTGCCCTATATATATATATATATTTTTTTTCTTTTTTAAATTTTAGAATCTACTAGACAGAGAGCTTGCAAACACTGACAGGTCCTAGGGTGTACTCTGAGGGAAATCGATGCCCTGTTGCTGTTGCTTGCTTCATTCTGGCGCTTACTTTGGCAATCACAAACCCCCAGAACCAGAGAGCTACATTTGGTTCTATAAAACTGGGGCAGAACAAATAATTGATAACAAATGAAGTTTGCTTTCCACTCATCTCAATCTTCTGCTAATAATTGGTAGAAAGCAATGTCGAAATGCAAATGAGCCAGCCCTGGGTGCTGTGAGAACACGCAGGGTGAGTAATACATCAATTGGGAAAGGTTTTCATAGGTGCTGGCATTATGGACAACTTCAAAAGTCTGTCAGGGTGAATCTGCTCCGTCGAGTTAAGGTACTGCAATTTAATGTCTTGGTCTGTGCATTTTCACGGGGGTATTCAAGGGGTCCGTCTCCCTAACTTGACTGTCCTGGTGTCATTTATCTCCCTTTTGCCCCCAACTTTGTCAGCGCAAGCACCGAGGACAACCGAAGGAATAAATTGCCTGTTTAATTGGACCGCTGTCTTAATTATTATGGATATCCTTAGTAATAAAACCCCAACAATATGTAAAAGGATAACCCAAGGTACTTCTGATGATGATTACTTCCTGATGTATGCAGCTGAATCCTCAACCAGTAAAGTACTATTTGCTTTTAAAGCATTTTTTACTTTCACGACTTCACAGCTACTTTATGAACTTCAGGCGGGGAGCATGTCAGGAAGGTTTCTGAAAGAAAAGTAGCTAGTTAGTATGCACTACTGTGCTGGGGTCCCTTTTCCATTCCACTGTCGTATTTATAATATTGTACTGATCTGGAAAAAAAATGAAAATACAGTGAAAGTGCCGCGTACCCTTCATGATTTCACTCTTTTCAGCTCCCTAAAAAGCAGCATCGTTCCAGCTATAATGACATTAACAGCACTTAGCTAAGTTAGTGTTTTTCTAGGAGGTTTTGTGGATAGTTTCCTTGCGAAAGGAAGACTTGGCATACGTGGGTGTAGGTACAAAGAGACAACTCTAACAGTATTCTCCCAGCTGATCCAAAGCTTATTAAAGACAACAGGGATCTTTTCTCTGGTGCTCACAGGTTCCGGATTAGGCTCTGCTTTACTCATTTTAAAACGATCCCCCATCCAGCTCAGCTGCTACCTGTTGCAGACGTTCAGTTCAAACACTCAGAAGATCCTAACGGGCTTTTCCTAGTGCACAAGGGGTAGGATAAACACCTTCAGCTTCTGTTTGCAAATGACTCCAAGGGTTTTTTTTCTTTTGAAAAAGAAAAATCCTTCAAGCGAATTAACGTTTTGCTTATGGGGCTCGTGCACACATTTTAAACCCATACTATTTATATCAGTATTTGCTCTGCCGTTATTTCCATTTTTAGTGCACCTTGGCTGTGCTTAGGAGCTGGGGGTCCACACGCAGAGAGAAGATCCACGTGAACTCCACTATTAGCTGAACTTGAAGCATTGGGAAATGTCAAGGTAAACGTTTAAGGACTCTTTTCCCTTTGAAGCCACCATGTATAACTATACGATACTATTGACTCAAGAAGTAATGCTGAACACTGGAAGTGTTCAGTCAGCATTTTAAACTATTATGAGCTACCTTCTGAACCATTGCCAAGTTAATAGACAATGAAAGATAATGAGCTTGAAATTGGGTGTTAAATTGCATTTTTGGTTCTCTCCTTTTTTTTCTTGAAGTTTAACTGTTTCCTGCAGGAACAACATCATCTTTGATGTATCATTATGTAAATGTCTATTTTTAGGTCAGAAAAAAAAAGTCAGGCATGGGCTAAACACTCACTCCTCCTGCTACATGTGTGCGGGAAGGGGTAGAGAGGCAGACGACACGCAGCAAGACCCAACACTTTCTGCTCCCCAGAGGGAGGAAGGTGGAGAGATGAGGTTAGGTCTGCAGGCAGCATGAGCCTCCAAATTAAGAAGGAGATTACTCGACTTGCTCATTAACAGTGTGCCTGGACGGCGACAGCCAGGCAACACTAAAAAGACCACGTTTGTATTGCACGGGTAACACGAGGAGTATTTCTATGCACTCCCAAACCTTTAAGGACTTTCAGCTGAATTCAGGGTATTTTACAACCTGAAACACCTTTGTCGTGTAGGGGTAATGTGTAGCCAACATGCCCACGGCATAGCCAAGACTGTAAAAGTCATAAAACTCTTTAAGTTTACACATCAGCGTGCAGAAAATAGCAGTTATTTTTCTAAATGCAGCGTCACGTAGTAATACCTCTTCACCGGAGTAATATAAAATCCAGTGTTTCATCTACAATCGTGTAATTAAAAAAAAAAAAAAAAAGCGTGACTCCTAGCAATATAAATACACCTCTTAAAAATGTGAAAGTCGGTCTAGCATTGAATACTTGATCAAAACTTGAATGGAAGGTCTGCCACTGAAATTGTACTTTCTCTACATAAATAACTGCCAAGAATAGGACGTGAAAAATACCAGTAAATTAGGCTTCCGAGAAACTTTTTTTTTATGTTCAACATACCTTAAAAAGCAAAGAGCGAAAATAATCGTAATTCCGAAAATAATTCAAATCATTCCGAAAGGCAGAGAAATCTTACCTGATGCCAGTCACCTGCGTTTTTTGAGGACTGAAGATTAAATTAGGATAGGAAGGTAGGCTTATCCTCATTAGTATAATTGTAGGATCTTTCTTTTATTTTCCTTTTAAACTAATGAGTTGCATTAATTCAGGTTCATTTTTATAAGCCTCTTGGGTCCAAATGTAAAGGACAGTCATTTTAGAAAACAATAAATTAAAAAAAAAAAAGCATGTAGCATGCATTAAGTGCACGTATTTCATAAGACCTAGGTTAATACAACTGGCATCTAGTTTAATTAATCCTTGTTAGTGTAACGACTAATATCCCTCCCTAGCATGTTTCCTTTAAACATTAGTATGTTAATTAAATGTTGTTTTTTTAAGGTTTTTTTTTCCCTTTGTACTTCAATATGGCATTATATCATGTCAAACTATTCTGAACAACTACCTTATAGAGATGTTTCCTTACAATATCTGGTCTCTTGCAGAAATTCTGAAGCCTTTTAAAAAGCTGTTCAGGTGTAGAATACAGATATTCAGCTGCAGGAAAAACAGATACATTTTTAATGAAACAAAAACCTCAAAGCACACACTCGATATTAGTCACTTTACTAATTAAAAATGCATATTGCTCTGTGCCGCCTCGTGTTTTACATTATTTAAGCATGATTTTATAAGGTTACCTCAGCTCACAAGGATGTTTAATGCTAAATAAGACTGTGTAGTTGTGCTGTTTAGACATCTCCTTTGGGTGATTAAAATACATTATTCTAATGTAACACAATGCATATGTGATACATTTAGTGATGAGATTTTTCAAAGAGCTGGTACTACATTAGTGTGTATCCTGTACTGCAGTTGCATACTATTAAGTATTAAATTGTTTAAATAATTTGGTGTGATTTTCAGGCCTTGGTGGTTGGTGTTTTTTTTTTTTTTTTTTTTCTGTGTATCAGAAAAATCTGCAAACCATTGCAGCATCACTGACCTTTTAACAAAAATCTATCATTACGGGTTGTGTATGCTAACAATGAAGAATGCTATTTCAAAACTTGCTTTTGTGTTATCTTAAAAGAACAGATGGCAAATATAAACTACTTCTAATGTATTAAAACACATAAAATTTTCCTTAACACTAACATGTTGGCTTGCCAAATAAACAATTGCTTTTGCTCAAGTTTATTCTCAAACTTTATACTTTCGCAGGAATCACGTTATTAAGTTTCAGCAAAAGGAATATGCAACAAAGCAGCTACCTGGGAATATCTCTGGGTACACCAAGGCTTTGGGACACAGCGGGTAACAGCCACAATATACAGCTTCGACCCTGAAGATTAGAAATAATAAATACATAAAAATAGACGTTAGTGAGAGAGAAAGTTATTTTGGTGCAAGAGCACTGAGGTTGACTACATATAGCAAGAGTGAAACATTTATTTTTTTTTTTTCCTTCAGCAGCATAATCCTTCTAAATGCCAAAGTTGCTCTTTTTAAAGAAAATTTTATTGATCATATGAATTACATAGAACAGAACAGCGAGCATATGTTTTGTTCGCTGAATAAATCAAAGCGCAGCTCTGCATTTTTTTGTTTTTTAAATACTGTTTAACACATTTTATAATCAGCAGACAGACACATGTAACAACATGGTGAAGTATGGACGGCTTTTCTTAATAATGCTGCAGAAAAACAAGGGCATACGTGCGCGTGTTTGGGTCTGTGCGTACGTATACACAGATGCACACCATCACCGTTACCTGGCAGCACAGATATTCATTCCTTAGACTTTAAGACTCCAAAGGTTACAGTTAAATATAGTCTAGGAACAACTCACAGCATGCTTTGGGCTGGGGTATGTTAGCTTATGCACATGCTTCAGATAATTTCCTTTATTTTTTGGGGGGGGACATAAACCGTTGTATTTTTTAATAACTACTGCTGAGATTCCTTTGCCAAAGTGTGCAACGCTTTGTACTTGTGTTTCTTCAAGGAACAATTTACATATCTCCTCTAACATCAAACCCAAATATTTTCTAATTGCGACACAGCGGCGCAAAGTTTTCTCGTAGCGAATCTAAAGAAAAGCTATCATCTTCATCTTCGCATTTTAATAGCTGAACGGGTTAAGGAATCAAGTTTTCAGTTGTTTTTTTTTTTTTTCACATAATGACCATTGATCTGACATAATGTCCCTCCAAAGATACAACTGTAATTTCTGTTGGCCAGAAATTACACAGTGAAATTCAAAACACTTCTTAAAATATGTTTATTTTATGAGAGTCTTTGAATTTCCTCCAACATGTTGACCATACGAGGACTTTATTTTTAACTTCAGTTTCCCTCAGTCCCCAGGAAAAAAAAAAAAAAAAATCTGAAATCTTGTCAACGTTCACCTTTTCTATTTTCAGTGACAATCCAAAAGGCTTTCACTACCCTTCATGTGCATATCGGGTTTGGTACTTTATTACAAGCACCCAGAAGGAACTCTCTTTCCTTTAGATCTACCCAGTTTTAAACAGGAAAAAAATAAAATAAAGACTAACATATTCAGCTTTCATGCTAGAAAGCTACACATATCCACAAACCCCAAAGATCCACATTTCTGTGCAAATGCTTTTGCTAAGCAATGATTGCTAGGGTTTTTTTTTTTTCCTAAACTTTTAAAATTTGTAATTTATGGTTTTTTTAAAATAACATATGCACTTCAGATTGCATTTTAAACATTAACAACAATTTCAAAGTGTACATCGTCTAGCACTATATTTTTTACCAAAGGGAAATGTTTCTGATGTGTGATTTAATTGATGATTTCAGTTCTTAAATATTGTGTCATATGTCAAAGCAAATAGATTTTTAAAGTTTTCTTTAATCTAGGAGAAAAAAAAAAAAGAGTGAAACTGTGGACATTTCAGTAATAGCTCAGATCACTAAGTTATGTTAAAATATTTGCTTTTTAATCATATCGTCTGCATGGAAAAAAAAAAAAAAAAAAGAACAGCTCCCTAAAACAAAACTGCAGGCCAAGATGCGATCTGAGTCATCATTTGAGTATGCAATTTCCCCTTATGAAAAACCTCTATTAGGATCATGAATTAGTAAAATCAGAATTTAATGCCTCTGTAGTTTGCTGGATAAAAGTTAAAATCTGGAATTCTTTCATTTGCAAATGATCTTATTTGCATAGTCATTTTTCTACCTTTCTGCACCGACGTTTACGTGCGTTTTCTGACGGGTCCTTCCGACAGTGTGGGAAGTCTTGCTCGAGACCCTACACCTTTCGGATGCCAAGACCCACAGATCAAACCCTCTTGGGTTTGATCAGACACAGACACAGGCTTTGGTCCGAAGACGGCCAGGGAAGCTTTGCAATTTCCACGCGTTTCT